TAAATTCAATTTACTTTTTAAATATATTTCGTGGGCTCGGTTCACGCAGCTCATTTGTGTTTACGGCGGCGGCTGCCACTCAGGCCGCTCCTGCGATGATTGGCGCTTTTTTTCCGTCGAGGCCAAGCTACGCGGAATCGGGCTAATATCGATGACTTGGCCATTGAGTGGCCCGGTCTGATGCTGGATGCTCCTACCAACCGAACCGAACCGACTCACTGACTGACTGACTGACTGACAGGCTCTGACCGGGGATATTTATTAGCCAACTACTCAAACAGCGCCACTTGAGTTTGTTTTTTTCTTTGCGTTTATTTTTTTGGGCTTGCGTTTTTAATAAGCGGTTACCTTCTGTTTTCCATCTCCTGGCGTAGTTTTCAATTAGCCCAAGGGTTCGCCAAGGGTTTTGGCGGGGTCTTCGGGTTCTGCACTTTAATTAATCGCCGTGTCTAACAAAATATGACAAGCGCCATAAATTAAAGAGCTGCCCAGCCACTCTCCCCCCGTTCCTGGAACTTGTCCTGATCCGGGGACAGAGAGACACTGAAAGAAAATACTTGATATAAATCCTATACAAGGTCTTTGGGTTATTAGGTATTTTAGGAATATATTTTCTAAAATTCAGAAATGAATATTTTATGTTCTCTTTGCTATTTAGTTATTTTATACAAGAATTCCTTATATTCGAACCTATACTTTCTCTGCTTTTCTTCAAGTGCTGGTCCCTGATTTAGCTCCAACTCCAGATGCAGCATTTGGCTCCCAGTTTGGCTTGAACCGCAGGTGTGCTCGTGGAAAATTTGCGTGTGCGGACAGCTAAGCTGCTACCGCGCTTAGTTAAAGCCCGTTCCGGGCGCATATAAATGAGAGATGTTTAACTAAGAGACACACACAGGCTCTGCATAAAATGAACACAAATTATGGGAAAACAAAAAGGTAAAAATAAGGAAGCGGGCATGCAATGGTGGCAGTTGAGAGCGTGGGCCTAGAGTCTCTGATTTGGACCTAGTTTGAGGTGTTGGTCGAACAAATGGGAGATATATAATGGAAGCTACTTCTTAATTGAATTAATGTAACTAGAATAGTATGCTTGGTTTGCTCTCTGCACTCTTAAAATCTAATTTACAATCATCATGATAAAAAATTATATTCTCGAACAACAAAATCATCAATTTCAAGCCGTAAAATGAGATAACAACTTTCGCATTTCCCTTAACCAAATCAGAAATCTTAACTACCAGAGGCCCTTACATAATACAATTATATAATATAGCAATAAATTCGTGTGCAGTCGTATATAAATTAAAACCGTGCAAAACAAAAGGGTTACGCTCTGGCCTTTTGTGGCCCCAGGAAGAAGTGGCAATGGCAATGGGACAAAGGATGGGGAATGGATTTGGGAATGGGATTTGGCCGAGGGCGCCACATAAGCCACAGTCAGGCTGCATAACTCAAGGCGTCTGTGACATTTTTATGGCATCAAATATATATTTTATTCGTAGAGTAACAGAAAAAACAGAGGCGTAAAGGCGAGGGATTAAAACTAAAAACTGATTAAGAAAACTTCGAAAGAAAAGTGTTCAATTTAGATGAAGGAAAACAGTTAAAGTATTTTTAATATCCGTATACGAACCCCCTTTTATTCCCATAAACTACGCCCCATTGGGTAATATATACATTTATTTTCCGGCACTTTTGGGCATTTTACATTTCGTTTGGGCCCATTCCTCTTGGCCAAATCCCCTGCTCCCCGTAACCTCAATGCAATTAAAACAAAGGGAGAAAAGGAGCACATTAATCCTTTTTACACAATATCCTGTATGTATGACCGCCAATTGTGGAAGCGGGGGAGCTCGACTTGGATGGGGAAATGGGAAATGAAGGCTTCGAGAAATGGGGGGGAAAATGGCGCGGGATAAAGGGGGTTCCGCTGGGCGGCCATTTTCTTTTGCCAGCTGCCATTTTTATGCTCGTTTTGTGTGCTTTTTTTATTGTCTGCTCTTCTGCCTTTTTTTGTAGCTCTCGCTGTTGTTGTTTGGCATTAAAAATGTTTTATGTTGTGTGCGATTTGAGCAACCTACTTTGCACATGCTCAGGGGCGTGGGTCGGCCAGGCTCAGGGGCTCAGATCTGTTTGCTGTGCGTTTTTTCTTCATTTTGTTATATATATATTCTATATATATACTCTTTACAAGGATATGCGCTCGTTTGTTTGCCTAGAAAGGCTTAATTTGTACAGGACTATGCCGCACACACACACATGCGCCCATTTAACGACTCCTAAATCGCATTGGTGTGTACTTGGTGTAGGTGTGTGAGTGTGTGTGAGTGCCACTGTGCGACTTTTGTCTTGGCTTTAACTGTTTTTATGGCGCATTGCGACTTTTTATGGCCTTGTCTTCTCATACACTAACGAAATGGTAGCTCTTCATTTAGCGAACTAAGTTGGTAATTAAGAGAAATTAATTTAAATATTAAATTAATTATTTATCAACAATCCTGAATGTTAACGATTAAATAATGATTTCGAAACCACTTTGTTGCTATTTTTATTTGAAATTTTAGTTTGTTAAGGGACATAACGACTCCTTTTTTAATAATTTCTAAGGTCTGTGTTCTTTAAATAATTATTGTATTATATATCCCTAATTTTCTAATAAAAGTAAATTTTATTTGTCGATTTTAAAGAAAGAGTATCCCAATTTCGCTGAATGAAAAATTGCCAAAGTTGTCTTGTTTTAGCTTTGCCTATTCTAATGTGTGTGGCGCCCCCCAAAGGATACCCCCAGTCGAGGAGGAAAAAAAAAGCACACGAAAAGCATAAAGGATAATAATAAAACGGAGCCTTATCGCTGATGCCGATGCTGCTTTTGCTCCTGATGATGGCGATGTTGAATGCCGCTCGCTGTTATAATAAAACAAATGGCAGCCCCATTTAATTGCTGGCCATAAATGTGTTTGGCCTTTCGTGTATCCTTTTTCGAGGATGCCACCAAAGGCACAGTGCGGTGTGGTGTGTGTGTGGTGCGTGTATTACTTTTTATTATTATTAGTATTTAAATTTATTTGTTAATTTATGGCGTGCACGCTGATAAATCTGAGCAAGCTCGTTCGCCTTTTTAATGGCCGCCCATAAAAGGTAAGCCCAGAAGAACGGGCCAAATTATACAATCAAAGCAAGTTAAAAGTCCATTTAGTATCGCCGATATGACATAATTGAGTGGACTTGGCCGCTATCTCTAGCGCGCTGAAGGGAACGGGACAAATCCCGGCATATGCACTCGCCATTTGAGGCGATGTCCTGCTGCTTTTGTTTTCAGTTCGACAATGGAATTAATGCAATTGCACAATTGTTTTGCGGGCACTTACAGCCCGAGAGCAGAAGTTGTCGCCGGGGGAAAAGTTTGTGCAGTTTGTAGCAATTGGCACATTTGGTTTTATTACCCAATTGAGCCACTAATTTGTGGGGAGTTCAACATTCAGTCCCGGCAAAACAAGTTAATTTGCGGCTCGGAAGAGGGTTGCTTCTCAGCAAGGACTCTAGTGTCGTCGGGACTCATTAAATTGTGGTTGCTGCTGTTATGATATTTCCCCTGGTTTTATTGTTTTTGTGCCTCTGTGATTTCAATTTGATTTGTGCGATGATTAATTCATGCTGGGCATAAGCCACACCTACCCAGTTACCAGCTACCATTCCCATTCCCTTTTCCATGGCCAGGAGACCAGAGCCAAGCAACGCTCCGATGATAAATGAACCTGGCTCCCCCGATCTTCGGGCTTGTATGTTGATGCTTATCCGCGACATTCCTGCCGCCCAAAGTGTCACTGTTGTCGATCATTTTTATGTTGTTTATTTGATTGACAGGCCGGAGTTCCGAGCGCGGGACCTCCGGCTCCGTCTCCGAGTTCATTTCACATGCAGCGATCATCTCTCGGCCGCCTTGTTTTTATTCGTCGTTTGCCTTTTATGATCGCTCGTTTTATGGGGATCGTCTGGGCCGGGGTTTACCATAAAATGGCCATTAATCATTTAATAGAGTGCCGTAATGAACTCTGTATTCGGCTGGCTGCCAAAAAACTGCAACTTTTTCCAAACTTCCCTTATGGTTAGTTTGCTTTTTTTGTGCGTCGTCTGGCTTTGGCACCTAATCCTGGCGCACAACTATGCCGTTTGCATTGTTCCACGCACAATGGACACAAAGGACATGTTTGCACTGATTATCAGATTAGGCCATTGTACGTACAAATTGATATTGTCATGTTTCAAGTGCCAGTGAGCCACTGAGCCAGTGTCCCTGTCCGCTGTCCGCTGTCCGCTGTCCTCTCGGTCCTCGGACCCCTGTGCTCTGTCCAGTTTTCCAGCCGGAGGCAGTGCAAAACTCATTGAATGCTGTCGCCAGTGCCGATTAAGAGATTTTTATTTTCGCATTCGGCGCTGCCAACGAACCAGGCCAAAACAATGGCCCAGTCGCCCGGCCAGATTTGCAATATTTAGGCTCGGTTTCCTCTTTTTTTTTTTTTTGGTTTGGTTTTGACGAAACAATCGCCGCACAATGAGTCCTGAGTGGTTTTCCTCCCCGTTCTGGCCTAGTTTCTGGACCAGAACCGATCATTAGCATAAAGCCACAACGGCGACGGCAATTCCTGTGGCTGTGTCGGTGTCTGTGCAGGGCGTTAGCCGAAGGATTAGCCGAAAATGTGCACATCATCATCGCCGAAAATCGGAGAGATTCAAGATCCGAGATTCGAGTTCGGAGATCGAAGGTCCTTTGCCGTTAATCTCCGCATCGCACAAGTGATCGTATCGCAATCTTGGCCCGGAAAATCGTCCATAGCCATATCAGATTTCTCTGGAAATCAGGATTGCTGGATTTCCCTATCAAGGCAGCTGAATCGATCGGAGGAGGTGTTGGAAAAGCGGCTCTCTGATCTCCGAATAGCCGAACTGTCTAGTGATCTTCTCGGAGATATGCTAATCTTTTGGAACTCTCAATAGTGGGGATTTCTCAAATTTCTTGGGTGCATGGGCCAAAGTGTTTTTGGCACATTTGTGATCTTGATAGGAGGAGGTCTGTCGGGATATAAATATTATCAAGTTCTGGTATTCTAGTAGTAGTAGTTTCCGCAGTACTCATTGTTATTTTAGGAAAACGGGAGAACAGAAAACTCACTAACAAAAAAATCAAAGTGAATGCACACTTATTTGATTATAATTTCAATACAATTTATATTATTTCTCAAAATCCTTGTTAAAAACTGTCATAAATTTGGATAACAACTTCAACAATGAAGGCTATTTTGCTATTATTATAAAAGGTGCCCACTGCCTTAAGGAAGCCCCGTGGCACTATGACAGGCCAATCATCCGCTTGCGGGGATGCGTTTTTTACGTAGTATATCCCCTTCGGTATGGGACATGGATGATTTTGGATGGGCAAATTTGTGTTCACTCCGTATTTCAAAGAGCCTTCCGCATACTTCCAGCTGGATTCCAAGGCCTTGCAGATGGGTTGGCGAGGAACGAACATTGGCAACTGCTTGTAATTACCATCTCCATTGGAGTCAAGGAAGCTTTCGGCCGACACCGAGAATCTATCATCACCAAAATCGCATTTCAATTCCACGGTGCCATTGACATAGCGTTCGCGACCCAATAAGCGAATGCGGGACAAATCGATGTAAGTTGATGCCCCTTCTGAATAGTTACCGGATATAAAACGGAACTCATAGTCTCTTTTAAACTTAATCTGGAATAAATGTTGAACTTACGAGATGGAACCAAAAATAATATATACCTACTTACAAAAGCTTCGCCAAGAAGAATCAGTTGAAAATAAATCAAAAACTGCAGCATTATTTTAGGAATAAATCAGACACCTTTGGGCAGCGAACGAACTACATTAATGCTGGTTATTTCCTTAACCCATCGCATTTTATACATTCCTACACTAAAATAAATTATAATCTAACATGACATACATGTTTGGAAAGTAATTTAATGATCGACATTGTAAATTGTGTAAAGTAACAATTTTACAAGTAATGTGATACATTGATATTGTAATTAAAGCCATCATTACAAAAAATAAAAACTTCACATTAACATGGCTAAAATTGAAAGCTTAGATCTACGTATAATTGTTGAAATAATTGTTTATAATATTAGCAAAAATTTGTTTATCCAACGAATTTATACCAATAAAAATAAATAATGTGGTTAAGAACTATCATAAATTTGGACCACAACTTCAACTGTTCCGGCAACTTTGTCTTTGTCATATAAGGTGGCCACGCCCTTGAGAAAGCCCCGTGGCATTATGGCTGGCAATTCGTCCGTTTGCGCGGTTACATTTTTAACATAATATATTCCCTTCGGTATGGGACATGGTCGGATGTGGACGGGAAAATCAGTGTTCTCTCCGTACTTCAAAGAGGCTTCCATGTACTTCCAGTAGGACTCCATTGCCTTGCAGATGGGTTGACGAGGAACGAACATTGGCAACTGCTTGTAGTCACCATCGCCATTGGGATCACTGAAGCTCTCGGCGGACACCGAGAATCTATCATCACCAAAATCGTATTTCAACTCCACGGTGCCATTCGCATAGCGTTCGCGACCCAAAAAGCGCATACGTGTTACATCGACGTAAGCGGTCCCACCTGTATGGTCAGCGGATATAAAACGGAATTCATAGTTTCGTTTAAACTTAATCTGGAATAAAAATTGAGTTTATGAAACGAAACCAAACATATGTATACCTACTTACAAATGCCTCGCCAAACAAAATCAGTTGAAAATAAATCCAAAAGTGCAGCATTATTTGAAGTAATAATCAGACAACTTCATCCAGCGAACGGATTACGTTAATGCTGGCTAGTTCCTAAAACGAAAGCATTTTATACATTCCTAGCATTAAAATAGATGATAATCTTAATTCTCGGCATTGTAAATTGTGTAATAAAGTTATAACTAATAATGACTAAAGTAACATGGTGTGTAATGTTTTGATACATTGATATTGAAATTATTATATTATTATATTAACATGGCTATAATTAGGAGCTTAGATCTACGTAGAATTGTAGCAAAACAGTTGACATTTTCTATTAGTAACATTATATATGGTTTATTAAAATATATTGTATATTAATAATGTTACAAATTAAATGTTCATTGTTATGCATTAGTACATACAACAAGGACTTTTGGGTAGTAAATATTATACTTTATTATAATATTAGTGAAAATATATATATTCAACGAATTTATTTCAGCCCCATAAAAAACCTAGTACAGAAAAATACGACTCAACATTGTTATTAAGAAAGATCCGAAATTTGGACCACTACTTCAAATGTGCCGGCAACTTTGTCTTCGTCATATAAGGTCATCACTGCCTTAAGAAAGCCCCGTGGCATTATGACAGGCCAATCATCCGTTTTCGGGGATACGTTTTTGACGTAGTATAATCCCTTCGGTATGGGACATGGATGTAGGTGGGCAGGAAAATCGGAATTTACTCCATACTTCAGAGAGGCATCTAAATACTTCCAGTTGGATTCCATGGCCTTGCAGATGGGTTGACGAGGAATGAACATTGGCAACTTCTTGTAGTTGCCATCACCATTGGGATCAATGAAGCTCTCAGCCGACACCGAGTACAACTCATCACTGAAATCTTTCTTCATCTCGACGGTACCATTGGCTAAACGTTCGCGACCCAAAAATCGAATTTTGCTTACATCAATGTAATCGGTTCCACCCGTATAGTCTACGGATATAAATCGGACTTCGTAGTTCTTTTTTAACAGCATCTGGAACTAAAATTTAATTAATAAAGGGGAACCATTAATAAGTTTACCTACTTACAAACCCCTCGGCAAACAGCATTAGTAGAATAAAGATTCGAAACTGGAGCATTATTTTAGGAATAATTCAGATAGCTTCCAGCTGAAAACGATTTACGTTAATGCTGGTTATTTTCTAAATCCGTTGCATTTTATACAATTGATAAAGATAGTAATCAAACACGCTATACATGTTTTGCATGTTTTTTAATTATCAACCTTGTAAAGTGTATACAAACTTTACAAGTTTTGTAACTAATAATCTCTTAAGTAACATATTTCTAAATAAGCTTTGCGGGTTTTATTTAGCAGTTCTAAAAAAATCCGACTTCACTTCGTTCTAAACAGTTGCATTGAGTTAAACCCAAAGATGAGACCTCCATTGGATATTTCCCGACATTAAGTCTAGATGGTCAGAGAAAATCTTTAACTTTATTTAACCTTATGCTAAAATTGCTTCTAAGAACAATTTTTTATCTTGAATCGCATGCGCCACTTCGACTTCATTCCGTTGCTCAAGGATTGGGTTTGGATCGGAGCACGATCGCTACCCGCTTTCACCCCAACCCAGAGCAGCCCGAGCCCAAAGCATTCCAGCCCATTCGAAAAGTGCCTTTCACAGCCCTTTGTTTGGGAGATGAGCTCCTAGGCGCCGGGTCATAACTCTTAGCGGCTGTTGCAGCTATTTGTTCGATTCTGTACACTGTATGCAGCATGGGCAGCATGGGCAATAAAAATATTGGCCTGCCTTCGCCGGCAAAGGACAAAGGAATTGCACCATAAAATGCATACGTACACAGGAGCGGAATCGGGAAACGGGGAAATGGACCGGCGAACGCTGAACGGAGTGGAAGACAAAGCCCTGCGGATTCCGGGCCCTTTGTCTCCTCGGGCCAAATCCCTCCGAAACTAGTGCAACACTTTTGGCTTATAGACAGGGCCAAAAAGTAAACTGCAAACTGGATAGAGGGTAAGACGGGGAATAGGGCCAAGAAGAGCCGGCCGGCCATTGTCTTCGCAGAAGTCGTTAGTGTGACAGGTTGGATTTGTTTTGTGTACGGTGCCTAAGTCTGTCATCATCATCAGCATAGGACTTGTCTGGCGCCAGCATTAGGGACAATATTTTCGACTAAATATTTCGTCACAGGCTCAGGTAAATACGTGAGAGGGAAACGAGGGCGTAGGCCCCGGAAAAATCGGACATCTCTGCGGGCGCCTATTTTTCGGTTCGCTCGATTTCTCTTCGGCCTGCTGCAGTTGCATTGATGATTTATGCACTGGTCGTCGGCTCCGAATTACAGGTGCATGGGGAATAGGTACAGGTAGTCAGTCGGCCAACCGAGAAATATATTATTAAATGACACTCCAATAGGCATTATTTTATGAGTTTGTATCCTGACACCAGCTATTTTTTGAAAAAAAAATTAATTAAAATATAGAAAACAGTTTGGTTTTGATATTTCGATTTCAAATTTTCCTTATATTTTTTTAATAATGTATTACCCGAGTACCTTTTAAGAAAAGCCGATAAATATAATTAGAAATTAGAATTAGACATGTAAAAGCTGCATTGGCAACAGGTCATTCGTAATCTTGAATTGAAAATATAAACGGTTGCGAAATTCCTATTGAGAGTTAATATCTTTAACTAAAACGGTCACAGAGTAGGTTCCCAAGTGTTCATTGTTCCGATAGAAGGAGCCATTGCCCCGGAGAAAACCCCTCGGAAGGATCGCTGGCCAGTTTTCGGCAGATAGTTCGATGTTCTTTAAGTAATAGGTGCCCTTGGGAATGGGGCAGATGTCCTGGTGCACGGGGAAATCGGTCTGTTTTCCATATTCGGCATGCTTCGCAAACAAAGGACGGTACTTTTTGTAAGCATCACACATGGGGGTTCGCGGAATCTGAAAGGGAAGCAGCTTAAAGTTGCCGTCGCCGACTGGGTCGGAGAAGGACTCGAACGAGAAGATATAGTGGCCGTTGTCCATGTCCTCCCTTAAGGTAACTGTTCCGTTCAACAGCCGATCGCGTCCGGTCAACCGAGCTTTGGATATATCCCAAACCGAGTTTTCGGGCCATACCGAGTAGGATAAAATCTTCAACTCATACGGCTTTATGCCGAGGCACTGGGGGAATAACATTAAAATATGAGGTCCTTGTTTTTATATTCTTTTGCGGACTTACAAGGGCCTCGCCGATTAGCAGGAATAAAAAGTGCCAACTTGACCGAAACATTTTAGACAATGAGAGTTTCACCATAAAAATAGGCTCTTATTTATAGATCCGATTTCTTGAAATTGACAAGTGCACATTGACCCATTTTGACATGTTTTCAACTTGTTTAGAAAACATGTCAAAATTGTTCAATTAATTTGCACGAAACCAAAGATCTATTGCAAAACAATAAACGTTAATATTAAAAGGTATATTTTAAAATTTTCACAAGTAACGGACGTGTTTAGATACCAATAACTTCTAAACATATCAACACGCAAAGGTGTTAAAGTGTGTTAATTTAATTATATGGATGCATGCAATCGGAATAAACTAATATATTATAAACTATATAACAAATCAGAATACAGTTTGTTTATAAATATATTAGTACTTTAATATTTTCCTTGTTTAAAGCTGCAAGTGAGACCACATCACCAGGTGCGTGTGGTGGCAGTCCGTTGGCATGTGGCACGGATCGAAGCTGCAACATATTGGCACACTTGAACCGACACCGAATCCGAGGAGCCGGGCACGTGCTCCTTGGCCCACTTGAACTGAGCTCGGTGCTGCTCCTGTTCCTGCTCCTGCCACCGAGTGAACTTCTGCCGGGTGGGCTGCTCTGGTAAGTTCGCTTACAACAATCGGGGGGTTTTTTTTTAATGCCAAAGAAGTCGCACGCTCTCTATTGGAATTTCCACAATGAGCACACTTGAGATACTGTTCTTTCGCCCCCTTTTGTTTTCCTTGGTCGAGAGACATGCAGAGCAGGGGCGAGCGTTGGGCTGGGCTGGTGGGTTGTGAACTTTTCGGCTGGCAAACAATGGCTCAAGTGCTGCTTGCAAAACAAAAAGCGTTTTAAGTTTTAATTACGCCAGGCACAAAAGGCCGCAGGAGCTAACCGCGACACATGGTGGTCCTTTCGAGTGGAAGTGCGACCGCAGACAGGGGGGGCTTAAGATACTGCACTGACTTGGGACCATATTGACGCCATATCTGAGCCACATTGCAGCCGAAAGGCATCGGAAAGTTTCCTATATGCCCGGCACCTTGCATAAGCCATATCTGCTGCCAAATCTTGAATCATTTCTCAACCCGGTTCGAATCAATTTCCAGCCCTCATCCGCACGAGGGTGCCATCAGCAACTATCTATCGAATACAGGCAGCCATAGCTTGTCAGTGATTAGATTTCTTAACAATGCTACCATGGGCAACAAAGAAAATTATAGGAAACACTTCAATCTGAATGGAAAGTGATTCGACTGGGGATTGCCCTGGAGATGGGAAAGTGAAGGCATATCTATATAAAAAAGGATTATGTTTTGTTATGACAATGATAAAAGTAACTCAAAACCTTCTAGAAACCTGTCTTTTATTACTGTATTAATACTTATTCTTATGCTAAGGTTAAGGAATTAATTTTAGAGCTTCTCTTACAGACCTTTCTGTTTCAATTTAGCCAAGTTTTTATTATTTTCCCAAGTATAAAACTTACTAGAATCCAGGTAATAACTTGAGTCTCTTATATTGCCATAACTAAGCCATCGTCTAACCCCCTCCTAATCCAATAAGTAAGGGGTATGTAAAATTGCTCAATTGCTCAACTGATTAGACTTTGTTTTCAATTTGTCTTGCAACCTTTCCATTCACAGTCAGCGAAGAAGGTTCCCCGAGCAGTTAAGGCAGTTGAGACGACATGACAGACGGGCAGAGCGAGACAGCCGCACAGTTTTTAATCAAAATTGTACAGGAAATCAAAAATCAGTTTTCAAAAAATAAAAATCACAGTTTCTTATCGTGATGTTGATTTGTAGCTGCCGTTTGTTGTTCTTTTCCTGCCTTTGTCTTGGGGTTTTTGAGGTAGCGCTTTACCCCAATTGCTCGGCCCATCAGAAATTTTATTATTATTTTTTTTTTTTTTTTTTACCTTTGGTAGGCAGGCCCTTGGCGTGTAATTTGAGGAAAGCAGCGCTGAAAGCAAACGCAGTAGCTATGAAATCAATTATGCGATAAAGATTTGACAGCACAGCGCACTGAGCTGCGCTGCTGGCACTCGATAATTAATTTTAACGCTTTATCGCAATTGGAGGTGCGCCCCACCTAGGGTGGGGACACTTATGGGGCTTCGGTTTCGGATCCGAAAGATAGTTGCTGCCGATAGGCGTCCGATTTGATTGAAGTCTGTCTAAAGGCGTTTGTCTTGGGGCCCCGTTTAATCTGTGACACAATTGGAAAAAGTTATGAGTGAGCCAGTGAATTTATTGGGGCCCCGTACACTTAACTAAACAATAACTTGATTTAAATTTTAGTTGAGAAGAAATAAGTAAAAGAGACACCTTCATAGTTATGTTAAGTATTTCATCATTAGTTTTGAATTACTTTAAAGACAATACACAGTTTTCTTTCCGTGCCCAGACATACATACATTTATATTTATTTGATTCGTTTGTTCTGAGTGAGGTTTCGGGACGATGAGAGATGCTTTCCCATGATATGCAAACGAACTCAATTATTTATTTTATCACAAATGATTTTACTTATCAAATCTAGCAATCGCGTCATCTTTGTCTCTCCCAGAAAACCACAATAACGAAGGGGCAGAAGACGCAGACGAAGGGCCAAGAAGCTGTAGAAGAGAAGAGACCTTTTTCAGACCCCGATGCTCTCCACTCATCCTCGTCGCCGGTGCGCTGTGCCTGTCTCTGGCCTCTTGAGTTTTTCTTACAATTGCTTGGGTTCTGGGCTTGGGTTCGGTCCTGATTGCGGCCGCCATTATTCAAGGAGCCCGAAACTCCTTGGGCCTCTCACTCTCTCTTTCTCTGTCGCAGTGGCATCTTTTTGGCGCTATCTTTGCGTTGAAATCTCCGCAGTTCATGTCAAATTTCTTGTGTTTTTATATATCATTCGGCTGCCACTGCCACTGCCGCGACTGCTTTCCTTGTAAGTATGTAAATGCCGTCAGGCTGCAGCTGCATTTTGCATGTCCCCCTCCCGCGCTCCAGGTTGCCATCTAGCTTTGACTGATTGTCGGTGGTTTATCTTATGATGGGGCCGTGGCTTCTGTTGCCGCAGATACGGGGCTCATGCATCTGTATCTGCATCTGCATCTGTATCTGTATCTGTGGCTGTATATGTGGCTTTGGCTGCGGCGGAGTCTTCTTGTTAATTAAGTTTCAAGCAGGTTCCGTCTGGGCGTTGCTCGAAAGTCAATTTTTAGCACCTATTGACATGCAAAGGACCCGCATGCCACACACACACACGGACACACGTTACTGGGAAAGAGAGAGATATGGATACATATAGAGATGGGAATGATTTGTACTCAACTGAGACTTAGGGTACAAGGTACTATGGATATTAAAGCTACTCATAGATATAGCATCTAATTCATCAACGTACACAGTGATAAGTTTTCTAAAAATTATAGTTCAGATACTACCATAACTTCTAACAGCCTTTTTAAGCAGATATAACATCCAATTCCTAGATGTACACCCTGTTTTTAGGGTACTTTTTTGTGTACAACAATTTGCTAACCACTCATCACTGTCGACAGATACAAATATAGACTGCAATTTGGATTTGTGCCCCAGGAAGGCAAATCAATCAATTCAACACGCAAAGTTGTTGCCGATAATTTCTCTATTTTGACTCGACTCGACTCGACGACCAGGACGAGAACGAGGACGGCAACGAGAAGGGATACGTAGACCCGAGGGGGGGGCAATAAATAATAACTCAATACAAATCCCAATTACAGACGATTGCCACCCGGAATCGAGGAGCCGGGACCAAGGTAACAACACAGACCAACCCTCTTGGCCCGGCCGAAGCAAATCCTAGCCGCCTTCGATTGTCCTTTTCGACGTTTGCACATGGGTCTGTCTCTGCATTTTTGTCTCTGCCTGTGTGTGTGGTGGGCTCGGTTCATTTGATTCGATCAGCGGGGTTTCGCCTCCATCAACCACAAAAAACAACGAGGGCCAAGGACCGTCAAGGGTCTGGGTTCGGGTTAGGGCTTGGGCTCCGGCTTCCCCTTAGTCGATTTCGGGCTTATCCTGCAACCGGCACATAAATCGTCGTGCGGCTCCTGCTTCTCCTTCATTTAAATTTTCATTTAATTTGTTATTTGTTTACATGAAACACGGCGACGTGCGACGACAGCGACGGAGGCGACATATGACAACATTCTCAGCCGGCCACAATTGCCATTGTCTGGCTCTCGGCGAGAAGAGGGGTGATTGCCAGGGGATGGGGCTTCGTGGGTAAGGGTCCTCGTGTGGTCATCTATTGTGACCACACACCTGGACGGTCGATTGCTCTGCTGCAGTTGGCCACTGTTTGGCAACAGTCTCTAATTGCTCCATTCAAATGGTGACTCCCTTGTGGACAATACAGGGATTGCAGTCGGAATCGGGGAAGGTGAAAATTAATTCCTTGGAGAAGGGGTTAATAATAGATTTTATTGGAAAATTCAAGGAAATTGATTAGGTTTGAGAAATATGTTTTTAGTTATGCACTGAAATCCATACCACATATAAATAGTGTAGTTTCCTTTTTCTAAAGAAAACATTGCTTTTGGCCATTAAGCATACTCACAGCTCCACAGAAAAATCAACAAATTATTTATGCAAATCGGTTGAAAGAAACCCCATCTCGATGGCCCCACCCCGAAAACATTTAACGCAGTTTAAGTTCGCTTAGGCAAACTAGTTCAGTTCAACGGAGGGCAAGACTCAGTCGAAAGAGTTCCCAACGATAAGGCAGTGACCATAAATACGACGATCTACAGCGAATTAGCAGCCGGAGGGGGAAATATCTGGACAGCATCTCTAACAAATTAAGTGGACAACAATAAATCAAATGGCTGACGACGAAATTCGGATGAAAAATCAATAAGCGACCAAGTCTATTCGCTGCGAGGGTGTGGGGACCCTAAATCAGTAACCGAATTCCGTATTTGAGTTGGAATCCGACTCCGATTTGGATTCGGAATCGGAATGGGGATCGAAATCTGTGG